CCTCCTCCAGCAGGAGGCAGCAGGGGCCTTCACAGCAAACACAAGCATGGTGCGAGCGCACTCCCTGAGAGTCCACGCATCTAGAAAACCTATTTTTAATGGCCCTGGCACGTGTGTACGTACGCGCGCACTGCACGGGCAGGAGCAGGGAGGCTTTGCCGAACATGCACCTCTCGTACCGCAGAGGCAGATGCGTGCTGCGATGAGTGCAGAGGGGACTGTCCCCGGAATCCCCTACATATTGCTGGCTGCTGACTACAAATAGTCTTCAGCATGTTGAGATAAGGATTCTTTTATTTCTATGTTAGAAAGGATAGAGTTGCTTTTTCGCTATTAAATGCAGAAAATGCTACTATATTTCTTAAGAGATCATGTGACTTAACGCCTCAGCTGAGCGCTAGGACCTTCCCTCAGCGGTGAGCAGGAAGAGTCAGCACGGCAGACCTGGTTCTCAAGGGGCCCGGCCGCAGGGTTGACCCTTGGCTGGCATCTAGAACATGCTCTTGAGAGGACCCCTCCGTGGTAAAGCTGGGGCTCCGTGCCAGCCCACAGACACTGCTGGTACAGCGTTCATGGTAAACACCGGCTTTCCTTCTGGGATCTGCAATCTTGCTGACCTGCCCCCAGTAAAAACCTTGGGCTCTGGGTGTCTACCGGGCTTCCCTGGGCTGAGACAAGGCACCGCTCTCCGTGGCCCCCATGGGGAGGGCACGAGGAGCCTGCACCCGGCTCCCCTACCCTCCTCCTGGGCACCTTCCCCCCACGGGCCCAGCAGCACATCTCCGCCGTGTGGTGGTGACCAATCTTAGTCATGAGTAGGACCATATGCTGAGGCTCGTGAGCCCTTCTAAGGAAGCCCTGCATGAGTAGGGTCCCAACACAAAGATTTGTCAAGAGTAAACCAGTTCAGAATTCCTGGGAAAGAAATTTTTTATGGAATATTTTTATTTAATATATTAATGGGCTAAATCTGCTGGTACTTTATCAAGGATATTGGTAATTTCTACCACAAGTGACACTAGATTCTAATTTCACTTTTATAGGTGCTGTCTTTCATATTAATAAATAAAAAATTCCTTTACTCAACCCATGTTTACGTTTGTGCCTTCCCGGGTCAGGCGCTGGGCCAGGGCCGAGAGAGCCTGGTGAGCAGGGCCAACACTGGCCCTGACGGCATGGCGTTTCACACAGTCAGCTCCGCACACAGACACACGGAGAACAGACGCAGGCCAGTGACAATTCAGAGTGAGACAGGCCGATGTGAAGGAAGTGCCTGGGCGTGCAGCTCTGAGAAACACAGGCAAGTTCCCCATTTCTCTAAGTCCCAGGTCACACGGCAACAGGTTCTTAGAAAGTTTAAGAGAACTCGCTGGAAAGACAGTTTCTGACCTCAGAACCATATTTAAAGGTAAGACTTTTGAAAATGTTGGAACCTACCCCAAAATTATGGATCCATTTGAGGGTTGGTTTTTTTTTACTTTATCTTGTAGCAATTCTGGCATTTTATATTCTCCCTAAATCTCTGCGTTCTCCCTCCCCAAAATGCAGGAGGACGGATGTTTCCGCCCGCATATCTGGGTCCACAGGAAGGCCAGCCTGCTTTACTGATATTTGTAAATGCCTTCTAAGTGAGAAGTTCTTAATTCTACTCAGGAACTCCATTTTCTGACCCCTCCATTTATGTTCACTAATTCCTTTACCACCTTTATCGTATGTTGACTTTATTTTTCCATATCTAACTTCTTGAGTTAAAGTGTTAGCATTTTTTTAATGTTTTTACATAATAAAAATATGTTGGCTGAGAATCTGTGTTCAAGCCCAACACGGGTCACCTCCCATGTGTTCTTTTTTTTTTAATTTATTTATTTGGTTTATATATTGATTTAATATATTATTTATTATTTGAAAGAGCGAGCGAGGACAAGCAGGGGGAGGGGCAGAGGGAGAGGGAGAATCTCAAGCAGACTCCACGCTGAGAACAGAGCCTGATGTGTGGCTCAATCTCACGACCCTGAGATCACAACCTGAGCCGAAACCAAGAGTCAGATGCCCAGCCGACTGAGCCACCCAGGTGCCCCACATCCCATGTGTTCTTAAAAACCATTCTATATTTACAGGATCACTTTCTTCTTGAGCAGGCTCCTTAATATCTAAATGCCTGATTATTCAGTTTTAACTTTGTTGGTATCTCACTGTAAAGGATTATGCTCAGTGAATAGAGCCCATATTATTCCAGCTTTTCAGACTGACAACATTTATGGCTTAGGTCAGATGATTTATTTTGTAAATGTTCCACAGAAACGTGGAAGCCGCAGTGGCGGTTTGTACAGCTAAAACCGCCCAAAGCTCTCAGGCCAGCCCTGGTTTCTGCATCTAGATTCACAGTAACCTCACCTTCATCCTGGTCAGATCCACCGCGTCTCCTCCTATGCCTGCTTCATTTGAGTCGGTTTTATAAAGTTCTAAATTCAAGTCTAACGTACGGACAGAAGAGCACGCAAATCAAGACCTCGGTGAAGGAGCACTATGTCCGAGCTCCCAGAAGTTTCTGCCCACGATCAGGCGCAGAGGCGCCGCTAGGACCACCTGTGACATCAGCCCGTCTGCTCCGTTTAACATTTCCTCCTCACGACCTGACGGGACTCCTACCAGCCTTGTTTCCTCCCTGTCTGCGCCACCTGCCCACAGCCGCCCCTTCCCCCGCAGGTCGTAAGGCCCCCCCCGGTCCTGGCTGCCGTCCCCGGAGCTGCGCCCCCCCCACCTGTCCCTCAGGGCTCCCACCCCAAAGCCATCCTGCTGCTGCGTCCCAGCCCTCTTCCCCATGTCCCTGGCCCTCGGGACACCGGGTTAGGAGTTAGGAAAGGCCAGGAGGCCTCCCTGGCTCTGTCCTTCTCGGGCTGTCTCCTGACTGCCGCCCCGCCCCAGCCCCCACCCCTGGCCCCCCTGCACGCTCAGCACCAGCCTTGCTGACTTCCAGGTGCGGAGCAGCTTGTCCAGCACGGGCCCCTCTCCTGGGTGCCCTGCCCTGCTCTATGCCTCTGCTACAGGCTCCTGCTCTGGCCCCACGGCCCCGTCCCAGGCCCTGCACTGAGCTGCAAGCAGCCCCTCTACTCGTCTGTCACCCCAGCCAGCCCACACACACGGGGGGGGGGACAGAGTCTGGGGACAGATGGCACAGGGCCTGGCCCAGAGGGAGGGCTCCGAGGGCTGTGCTGGACCACCAGGAACATCAGAGCCGACAGAGGCCCTGTTGACAGGTGCTGCCCTCACCTGGTCCCGCCTGGTCCCACGGAGTGGCCACCCGCCATCCACAGGAGCCAAAGGGCCAGGGGCCTGGGCCAAGCACGGCAGGCCACCTGCCTTCTCATGCCGAGGGCCTTCTCATGCCACCTACAAAGCAGCCGGGAGCTCTCCCCATGACGTGGGGCACAGAGCCAGGCACCCGCTCACATGGAGCTCGTCTCCATGCATGAATGGGGTTCATGAATGGGGTTCAGATGACAGCCACCCCACCCGGTCCTGCCCTGTGCTCACAGGCCCCGTTTCCACTAACGAGGCTCTCCATCCACCAACAGAGATGAGGCAGTGGATTCACGTACTGGAAGTATTTCCTGACCTCTACGCTCCTGAGGACCCCACGGAAGGCCCATGCTTCCGCTGCAAATTCCACACAATCAATCATTTACTCTCCTTCCTCTGAAAAACTGCACGCCACCACCTTCTCTGTGTGTCTAAGGGACTCACTCTCCTCAAAATCAAAACAAAGATGCCGATTCCTCCGTGGGGAGAATTTTTCAGTCTCACAGAGTACCTCTGTGTCCATGCTGCCTCTGGGCCACAGTCCCAGGAGGCCAGCAGGACAGGAAGAGCCTGGGTGGGGGGCACACCGGGCCGTGGAGGCAGAGAAGGCTGGCTGTGAAGGAGGACCAGCAGGGCGGGGGCGGCACGGGACCACACGGGGCTGCACTCGGACCCCCACGACCATGGGATGCCAAACGAAGCAGCTTAGACTTCAGGGGATAAAGTGATAGGATTTTCTAGAGTGGCTCACTTGCAGCTATTTTGTAATGCTTGAACTTACAAACCAGCCAGAGATCCCAGCAAAGCCAACACCCAAAGCTTGACCACATCTCCCATCGGAAAGGAGCACGCTCAGAGGGAGCACAATGCCTCGCGGACAAGCCTGCAGTTCTGGAACAGGGCTGGAGCCCCGGCAGTAGGAGCCACGCCAGGTTTGCATGCCACCGGACACACTGGAGCCAGCCCTTGGATGGCTTATTCAGCCACATGTGCCTGAAGGGGGGCGGAGGGGACCTCAGCTGCTCACAGCACAGCAAGTCCCTCACCCTCTCTTGCCGTGAGCTCTCTTCCCAGGAAACAACCCCCGCAGAGGCCCAGGAAGAGGTGGAGCCTGCTGGATGCACGCCCAGGGGACATAAGATTTTGTGCACAAGGGAGGTCCTTCCACCCAAAGACCCTACAAAAGCTCGTTAGAACAAGGCAAAGGGAGGGGGTCAACGCCCCCATGGTACTCAGGCCACCACATGGAGGCACACTTGGGGGTGGGGATGGGCTGGGGACTCAGCACCCATGGAGCCCCTAGTCGAGCACAGAGCTGATGAGTGGGTGCCAGTGTGGCTCTGAGGAAACTGCCCAGAGAGGCCAAGCAACATGTCCGAGTCACACAGCTGCCAAGCGGCCAGCCCATCTGCTCACAGACCAGCACCTCCCCTAACGCGTCGCAGCCCTGAGCCACCCCTTGGGGCCACGCTGTGGAGGACACACACAGGCTCAGGAAGCGCCCCCGGGAGTCCAGGAAAGGGCTGAATTTCTGGCTCCAGGGGAGCGTGGCCAGCCCACTTTCCTGGGTCGGCCGAGCTCGCAAAGAGCAGGAGGTCGGGCTCGCAGCTCTGGCACAGACAGCCCTGGGAACGACAGTGTCATGAACGTCCCCCAGGAGAAAATCAAGTGCAGGGCCTTTAGAGAAGGCATTTACTTACCTGGAAATCCCGCTCTTCTAAAATTTCCTTCCTCCATCTCACCAGAAAAGCAGCGCAGACATACAGGTGGAAATGAGAGAAGCCGTCAGGTTCAGACTGCAAGAGAGAACACAGGGGACGTGAGTGCGCCCACACGACCGCGTGGCCACCCGGCGGCCAGCTTACCCTCCCACCAGGCAGACCCCCCAGGAGCTCTCAGACAGCGCAAAGCATGCATGACTTGCTCGCTTTTACTTTTTCTCATCTCCTTTGCATCAATACAGGCTTCTGATGAAGAGGAGGTGAGCAGCTTGTTCATCCTCCTCTCCTGCACGGATGACTGCCAGCAATAACAGAAGGCAGACCATGAGAAGGCATTCTGTGCCACGAACCGGGGAGGACACCTGCCCACAGGGGCCGGGTCACTGGCAGGGGCTAAACTGCGGTCCTCGCTCCCCTGATGGTGCCCCCAGGGAAACGAAGCCAGCTGGAATCAGTGGGGTAGGGAGGAGGCTCCGCGCACCTGCTCCTACCCCACAGGCTCCTCACCAGGCCAATGCTCCCTTCCCACTATGGGTTCAGCTTGCCCCCTCTTCAGGGGCGCTCCCTCCTCCCGTGCCTGGCCTTAGTTCAGCATGTACCCCCAACTTCTGAAACCAGGGTTCTCAAAACTCAGTTTTTCCCATTCTCTTACAACACAACTGAGTTAAAAATCAATAACCAAAGAAAGCTCAAAACACAAAACAAAATCAAAATGAACCACACGTTTCTAGATTTTTAAAAAAGCATGCTAAGAAGTAAGCTATGGTTAAACAAGTAAATCATAAAAGAAGGCAGAGCAGGGGATGTGGCCGCACCGAGGTCCCTGGCAGGGAGGAGGGCTGATGGCACAGTGCTAGGGAGGAGGGAAGGAGAGTCACTGGAGCCCAGAGTCCCACTTCACCGCACCGCCCGGAGCTGCTGATGGTGCAGGCGCATCCCCACCCTACACGCCCTCACCTAGCAGGGACTGCTGCTCTGCACGCTTCAGCCCCGATAATGAAGTCGGCTTTGCCCTAAGTCTTTCGGGTGGATAATAACACAGAGCAGGTTAGAACACTCGCCCTGACTCACTGGAGTTCTTACTTCATCAGATGCTCTCCCTCCATCAGTGAAGATGGTAAGATCGTCTCCCTTTCATCTGTTCATGTGATGAGTGACATCAGCATACTCATTTCCTTAACGTCGTGCTAACCTTCCATTCCCGGAGAAACTCAATCTGGCCACAACGTATTATATTTTTTCATCACAGCTAGGTCCCATTCGCTAATGTTTCATTTAGAGGATTTCCATGTCCACGCTGAGACTGGCCTCCCGTTATCCTTTCTTGAACTGCCCCTGTGCAGTTTAAGCATGAAGACTGTGCCTGCCTTTTTCTACCTGTTTCCATGCTCAGAGTCCATACAGGACTGGGACATCTCCCCTTGGCATGCTTGCTAGGCATGCCCTAGAAAACAGACCAGGCCTGATGTTTTCCTTGTGGAAAGATGTGGATTCCTGATTCAAGTTCTAACTCCTCAGACTCCTTTAAAATTTTTGAAAAATTTTCTTTAAGAATTTGTCATCTAATTTTTCAAATTTGTTCATAATATCCCATTTTTGAAATCCCTGCTGCATGTGTAGCCGGATCCTACTGGAAATTCTTAGTACCACATTTACATATGCCTTTCCTCATCATCGTCCCCAGTGGGGCTCAAAGTCTTAATTTTGTCAGTGTTTTCCCAGAACCAACTTCTGGGTCCGTGTTCCATCTGCCAATCTTTTATACTTCCTCCACCTCTGCTGTTACCCCTCACCATGGCCTTCCCACTACTGACTTGCCCTTTTTTGCTGTGGATACTAATATACACAAATGCAGAGTGGCTTCAAATTATGTTTAAATCATCCGGGTCCTTTCTCTAACATAAGATGGATGATGATTAGCTCGTTAATATTTGGTTCTTCTTCATTTCTGACACAAGCAGGCATTTGAGGTAATGAACTTTATTCTAAGAGACCCACTTCCGATGCGTTCCACAGCTGAACAGTATCTTTACTATCCTTAAGTTCCAAGAATTTTCTGCCTTATGTTATGATTTACTTGTTTGAACATAGCCTACTTACTAGCATGTTTTTTAAAGTCTATGAACATAAATGTTTTGTTTTAACTTTTGAGCTTTCTTTGGTTATTGATTCGTAACTCAACCGTGTTACAAGAGAATGTGATCTAGGGGCGCCTGGGTGGCACAACTGGTTAAGCATCTGACTCTTGGTTTTAGCTCAGGTCGTGATCTCAGGGTCATGGAATGGAGCCTGAGTCTGCTTAAGATTCATTCTCTCTCTCCCTCTGCTCCTCCCCGCGCCCCCGCCCCCCGTGCGCTCACTCACTAGCTCTCTCTCTCTCAAATAAATAAATCTTTAAAAAGAGAATGTGATTTGCATGCTGCTCATTCTTTCGTTTGTTTGGATTTGGTTTTTGGAGTGGAAGACAATTAGCTTCCACAAAAGCCCCATAAGGCCGCACAGTTACAGATCAAACACACACCTGGAGCCAGAGTGCCTGGTTTGAGCCCTGGTTCTGCCACTTATTAGCTATGTGATCAAGACAAAGTATCTGGCCTCCCTGTGCCTCAGTTTCCTCATCTGTGAAATATTAGGAAGACTAAATAAATTAAACAACATAAAGTACTTAGGATGATGCCTGGAGCATAGTAAATAGTATGTAAATGCCAGCTATTGTCACCAAGTGTGTGTTAAAAGAGTATATATTCTGGATTCCTTGGATACAATATCTTATATGTGTCTATTGGGTAAATTTAATCGATAGTCTTGCTCAGATCTCTTATAAATCCTATTGACTTTGTCACTTTGTGAGCTATCAATAACAGAAGTGTGTTAAAAATCCTATTACAACAGTGGATCTGATTTCTCTTTACAGTTCTGCCAATCTTTGTTTTATATATTTGGAAACTATGTTATTAGATGCATACAAGTTTTAAATTATTTTATCTTCCTGGTGTACTGAATAATATTATTATACATGATCTCCTCTATGTCAAGTAATGCTTTTGCCTTAAAGTCTTCTGGGAGGGGGGCAGGGGTGTGATATGACCATAACTACTTATCAACTTTTGTTGGGCTCTTATTTTAAGCAGCTCTTTTTGAGATATAACTGACATACAATAAATTTGCATATTGAAAGTATATAATTGCATAGATTTTGATATGTCTACACTTGTGAAACCACCATCACAATCAAGAGAATGAAACTATCCATCACCCGCAGGTTTCCTTATGCCCTTCTATATGCTCTCCCCCTGACAGTCCTCAGTCTCCAGGCAATGACGACTGATCTACTTTCGTCACTACACGAGTTCACACTTCCTATACTTCTGTACAGAGAAAACCATGTGGCATGTGCTTTCGTCCAGCTACCTTGACTCAGCACTATTACTGTGAGACTCAGCCACGTCACTGCATGGCCATTGCCTGTGACTGCTCAGTAATATGTCATTAATATCTGCAAGAGCTTGTTCACCAGAGCTGTTTACCTGTTGATAGACACTGAGTGGTTTCCAGCGTGGGGCCACGACAAACTCAGCTGCTGTCAATGTCTGCGGACAAGTCTTTGTATGGATATATGCCTTCACTTTGCTTCAATAGATGCCAAGGAGGAGAATAACTGGATCCCACGGTAGCAGTATTTTAACTTTGGAGACCCTGCCAAACGATCTGCAAAGTGGCTGCACCACTTGACATTCCCACCAGCAGCAGATGGAGTCCCAGTTCTGTTACCCCATTGCCAATATACGAAACAGTATTTTTAATATTAGCCCCTCTCATAGGCAAGTGGTAGGATCTCATTATGGCGTTAATTTATATATTTACATTTCTCTAATGACTAATGATTTTGAAGATCTTGAATGTACTTATTTGACATTCTTGGTGGAGTGTGTTCAGTTTTTTTCCGAGTTGTATGTTTCTTATTGTTGAGGTATGAGTGACTTTCCATGTACTCTAAATACAAGTCTTTGATCAGCTATGTGCTTTACAAACACTTCTGTCTATACCTTGTCTTTTATCCTCTTGAGAGTGACTCTTGAAGAACATGGATTTTAAAGTTTGATGAAGTTCAATCTATTACTTTGCTCTTATACAGATCCTGCTTTTGGTGTCATTTCTAAGAAATTTTTGCCTAACCTAAGGGCATAGAGGTTTTCTTGTAAAATAGTTTTAAGCTTTACATTTAGTTCTGTGATATATGTTGAGTTATACAAAAAAAAAAAATGTTATACGAAAATGTTATACATTTTGTATATATTAGAGGGTAGGGGTTGAAGTTCCCTTTTAAGCACATGGATCTAACTGTTCCAGTAATTTGTTGAAAAGACTATCCTTTCTCTGCTGAGTTAATAATCAGGTAGTGTTAGTCCTCTATTTTTGTTCTTCTTTATCAAAGTTAATTTGTCCATTCTAAGTGTTTTGCACTTCCATAAAAATTTTAGAGCCAGTGTGTCAATTTTTCCAAAAGCTTGCTGGGATTTTATTGGAGTTGCACTGAATGTATAGATCAATTTGGGGGAACTGTATCTTAACAACATTGAGTGTCCTGACTCATGAACATGGTATAGCTCACCACTGACTTAGCTCTTCTTTAATTATTCGTAACAATGTTTTATAGTTTTCAGGGTACAGGTCTGTTGTATCTTTTGTTAGATTTTCCCAAAGCAGCTTATATTATTTGACACTATCAAAAACAGTGTTTTGAACAAAAATAAGCTTAAAGTCGATTAAAGACCTAAATGTGAGACCTGAAACCATAAAATTCCTTGAAAAAAACATAGGCAGTAATCTTTTTGACATCAGCCATAAAAACATTTTTCTGGACATGTCTCCTCTGGCAAGGGAAACAAAAGCAAAATTAAACTATTGAGACTACCAAAATAAAAAGCTTCTGCACAGCAAAGGAAACCATCAACAAAACAAAAAGGCAGCCCACAGAATGGGAGAAGATATTTGCAAATGACATATATGATAAGAGGTTAATATCTAAAATATATGAAGAACTTATACAACTCAACACCAAAACACAAATAATC